TGGTCTATTGTAGTGATTTTGTGATGAATTATTCGTGTTTCTTCGTTCTGGTGATCTTCCTCTATAACTTGAGTTATATGGTGATTGATTTCTTGTATAATTTGTATTGTTCGGGAGTGGTTTTCCTGAACTGTTGTTGCTGTAGACTGTTTTGTTCGGTAGATTTTGATCTTTTTTCATGTATTGATAGAATGATTTATTTGGTTCTTTATATTTTTGAGGTTTATTTTGATTGTCTTGCTGTTTTTGTCTACATTCGGAAATACTATGTCCGTATCGTCGGCAATAATTACACCATTTTTTGAAAGATGGTTTGCCTTTAAAGTTTGGGTTCTTTTCGTAAATATTGAGTATTTCAGTGATTTTTTCAACGAGGTCTGTTTCTGATTCCTGTATATTATTAATATTAGTGGGAGTCGTTTCAATTTTGTTAACGTATTGTAATTTCAGATTTTCCGTTTCTTCTAGTTTCATCGTGATTTCTGCTTGTTCTAATTTGTCTACTAGTTTTCGAAAATCTAAATCGGGTTCTCGAATTGAAGAAGGATGGGATGCTCTCTTTTTTATTGCTATTTTCCTTAATTGTGGTGTTAAGGTCATCATTAAGATTTCTGTCATCTTTGTGTTTTTATAGTCGTGTGTATTTAATGAATATGCTTTTCGAACTAGTGTTTCGATTCGTACTGCTATTTGCTTGATGGTTTCGTTTGGTAATCTGCGAATTTCATTACATAAAACTCTTTGTTGTTGTTTGTTTCTTTCGGAGTCAAACATTTTTGAAAATTCCTGTGTAAACCTTTTCCAGTTTGATTTTATTTCTAGAGGTAGTACTGAAAACCATTTTTGGGCTGCGCCATCTAAGGTTGTTTGTATTAACGCTGTGCGTCGATGTATCCAATTTTGATGTAGTGGCGTATTAATTGGTTCAGGTCCAATATTTAAAATCAGGTTTGCTGTTACTGCATTTAAATAATCTTCTACAGAGTATTCAGGGTCTGTTCCTGTGAAAACCATTAGGGGTTTGTTTGATGTTATTGATGATCCACCCATAAGGTATGGATTCATTGTCATTTGTAATGATTCTGCTGCATTTGGCATTTGAGAAAAATTTGAAAGTTGGTTTCTTGTTATTTCATGTTGTTGGAGATAATATGGGAGTGGTATTTCATTTTGCATTTGTGATGCTTGATACGAGTGTGCAGTCATTGGATTTTGTTGTTGAATTGGTTGAAAAGATTGTGTATTAATTAGATTTTGTTGTTGAATTGGTTGTTGATGTTGTGCATCTATTGGTTGTGGAGAAAAATTTCTATGATTTGTACGTGTTCTCTGTATTCCTTGTCTACGATATTCTTGAGTATTTGGTGCAAATATATCTGGTTGTAAGAAATCATCATCTGAGGATAAATAATCCATTTGATAAGATGTCTGTTTTTTATTTTTATTTTGTTGAAAAAATGGGTAATTTTCACTGTGATCCTGTGGAGGATTTGTTTGGAAATTTATTGAATTAGGTTGGGTCATTGGGTTATCCCAATTTCGAGATCTTGGATATTGGTTAAAATTTCTTTGTGGTTGATTATATGTTTTTGATGGATGTGTATAATTATAATTATGGTCTGTAAAGTTGTTTCTAGTGAATGTTTTGCGTGTTTTTGATGGTATTGTCATGGGTCTGTATGTTTGGTAATCCATATGTGAATATTTAGGGGCAACCGAAGGTTTAACGGTTGATTGTAAGGTTACCTGTGTTTGTGAAGGATTTGTATTTCTTGGTGTTGTTAAATTTGGGCGTATTGGTGAAATACTTTGTTGTGTAGTTGTTGTGTGTACAATTTCTTCATTTATGAAGTGTGATGGTGTCTGGATATCTTGTTGAGTAAGATTCCTAGTTCCATTGAGGTTTTCATTGTGTATAACTGTAGAGTTTAAACTATTATTTTGTGTATCGGGCAAAAATGTATTATAGTTTAATGGTGTTGCATCAATGGTTAATGGTATTACTTTTACATAATCTCTTATGTAAGATATCGTACTTATTGCTTGACTTGAGATTGATTGTGGGAAGCTTATAAATGCGGGATGAGACCATTCGGGGTCCCAAACATAATCTGATTGTTCTGTGATAGCGGTATCATCGTTCGAGTTTTGGGGTCTAAAATTTTTTCTTGCTTGTGCAATTAAATCAATATTGTGTGTGAAATAATCTATTATGAACCATGCCAAAATTTTTTGTAGATCGTGTTTTGTATGTTGTGAAACGTCGTCTTTCGTGAAATTTTCTTTAATGATGTTTAAATAACTAGAGAGTAGTGTGATTTCATGTCGTACTCTTAAATGTTTAGATGTTTCTGTCGGTGAGACATTTGTTATTGGGATTTCGTTTTCTAATATCGAAATATAACTATATATTATTGCGAAAACTTCATTGGTGAATATGGAGTTTGCTCTTTGTGAGTTATGATATTGGATGCTTTTTATATATTCTGAAAAAACTTTTGAAAATTCTAAATCAAGATCGTCTGTTTGAATTGTATATTTTCTATTATTATGGTTTGGTGAGGTGAATTCTATGGAGTAGATTCCATACTGTTGTGTTATGTTGCATATATCTTTTAAGTAGTGGTCTATGATTTGTCTTTTGATTTTTACATCTGGGAACTCTGTTTTACATGGACTGATTCCGGGTTCAAATAAATTTAATAGTAAATTTTTGCAAAATATATGCTGTCCTCTATCAGTGGTTGCATCTACTATAAAAGGAAAGATTTCATCATCATCTGGACTTTCTTCACCTGGGGTGTGCGTTGAGCTCATTTTTTCGTTCGATGACTGTTAATATGTAATTATTAATGTGTCGAATTGGTTGATTCCAATTGTATAAATGTACTGGTTTGTGTTTATACTGCTTTTTTATTCTTCTTTTTCCTCTTTTTGATGAATTTGAAGTTGTTTCTGAGTCAGAAAAATATAATTGATCGTGAAGTGGGCAATTTTTATCTATTGATTCTTTTAGTTTGTAAAGTTCGTCTAAACTGTTAGTTTCTGATTCTGAAAATGCGTTTCGATTTTTTGAAAATCTTTTTCGTGTTATTTGTCTTTGTTTCGTTATTATTTTTCTTTTTAGTGTTTGTCGTTTTGTTCGAATGTATCCAACTGTTTGTGTATGAGGTGTGATTACAAGGTCGTATTTTTTGTTATCTATTTCACAATTGTGTAAAACGATTGTTTGTTTATTTCCTAGGTTTTTAAATGACATAAGGTTTAGGATGACGGATGCAAAAGGTTGTTAAATGGTTTCTATTTTTCTTAAACTGTTAGTTTTTACGATTTTTTGGTTAGCTTAACCTGGGTCTATTTGTTCAGGGTTGGAGAGAAAAGTATATCGATTCCGAAGAATGATTTTTTACTTTCTCGTGGCTAGTATAAGTTAAGGTGTTAACTTACTTAATCTTACTTAGGGGTAGTGATTGTGTTCAAGGGTTGGAGAATAGTAAATCGATCCACAAGGTTCAGGTATAATTAGAACGCGAGTAGTTCGTTAGATACTATTTTAAACTTACTAAGTCTAAGATTTATCCTGGGTCTGGTAAGAGGGGGGGGGGGTCAAGTGAAGGATGAATAACCGAAGTTCTTCACTGTTTATCCTAATTTGAATGATTAGTTTTGTTTAAAAATTTCTATTAGTCTTAGGTCTTTAGAAAGGGTTGGGTAGTGAATCGACGTTTGAGGTCGTTAGACACTAATTAAGTGGGTGGCGGAGAACAAAGTTGTTCTGTTTGATCCAAGGATAAGCCTTGATGATCAAATTTGAAATTTAATTAAGTAGAAAATGATTTAAGATCCAAGGATAAGCCTTGATGATCTGGTTTTAAAATTAAGTGAATTTAAGTTTTAATAAAATTTTAAATGTGTGTAAAGGAAAGATTTAGTGTTTTGATGATATTAGTGGGTTTATGATTGCTGTTATGTTTTAGATGATGGAGCTGGAACAACAGGATGATTTATGATTACTAACCATTTATTGTCATGCTACTAATTTTTATTTTTATTTTTCAATAAATATTTTTCAAACATGTTTTGTATATTACTGCAGAGTTTTAGGAAAACGATCTTAGATCTTTTTATCAATCGTTATTGTATATTAATAATTTTGTTTAGCGCCTGAAATGATTTTGAAGATTAACTTCAAGGTTTTATGTTTGCAAATGAAAATCTAAATTCATTGCTAGTAGTATTCTAAATATAAAAGTTTGTTCTGGTTTTTGCCTAACTATCATATAGCTATATGGCAAGTTTCTACTTTGTCGTATGTCGTCTCTGGTTCGAGGTCTTCTTCCAATTCCGGGTAGTTCTGTTATGGTTCGGAATATTGGCTCTGATCTATTGAGTCGTAGAGACATTTCGATTAAATTATTGTCGTATAACATTTTTTAAATGTTTTTGTCTAATTTCTAATCTATTTTGGTTAATTCTAAGCTATTAAGGTCTTGTTCGAGACTTATGGTCGCACCAGATGAGTTAGGACCGAGTTGGTTAACTCATAGAGTAATTTCGGATAGGGTACACCGTCTGCTCGTCACGCTATCTTATTTTCGGCCGGATAGATTCGTGCAACTTCTTAGTCTAATACCGATCCTAATCTTACTCTTATACTATCTAGTCTCAGGTTGTTTAACTAGTTTCTGCTAGGCTCAATAGATCTAGGGTATACTGGTTTATTGCGGCTGCTGAAGTGCTCGGGAGAGTCCAACTAATTTCTAAGTTAAATTCAAATCTCTCTGGTGCTGAAATTACAAGTAACTTCAGCACTTACAAATAAGTGGGTTGTTAGTTAGATGGATCATGATTGGTTAATATTAAATACTTTACATTGGTAAAATATCTAAATTATCCAATCATAAAATGTAGTCTAGATCAGGTTCCAATATATATTCATTAGTTTCTTCGAAAGTCGGAACAAGCAATCAAAACAAACAAAACTATGTGAACAGAAGTACTTCTAAGTACTCTACAACTAAACAACAAAAAATTAACGTTAGAACGGTGTTCTGCCAGGATTCGAACTGAGATGCTGTTATGACGCTTTTTCATTCTTAGAATATTGCTTTGAAGAAAGCAGCAGAGTCTTAACAGCAGTCAAAATTGCATCCAGGCAGAACACCGTTTTCATGTTTTTTTCTTGTTGTTTAATTGCAGAGGATAAAAACAACTTAGATTTGGACAATAAAGTTTGATTTGTTTATGGTTTGTTACAAACATCTAGTCGAAAATTGCCTTGTTGTGTTTGAGTTTCTTGTGTTCAATTTGAACTTCCTCTTTTTTTTTAAAATCTATAATGACTTTGATTTTCCATGCTTGAGTTTGAGTGCTCGGAATGACGTATTTGAATTACAAAAGTATATTAGTCGATACGAACAAAAGCCAAAGTGAACGACCGACATTTCTTGGTTCACTTTTTGTGCAAAAATTGAGTTTTTTGCAAATAGTCCTTAATGCGACTTTTGCCCCGTTTATTGTAAATCGATTTTCAAGAACTGACGCAAAACATACGTACTTTGCCAATGCTGAGAATACTGCATCTGCAACTGGTTTTTGGTGTCTTTTTTGGCATAAATCTTTTTATGTCACTTGTTTTCATTAATCGAGCGTATATTGAAAATCATCAAAACTCTGAATTGAAAATTATCAAAACGCTGATCACAAACAACAAAACTGGCTTTGTTTGAAGCTGGCAGGCTTATTGTTTGGGATAACTTTTTTTAGACATAGACATACAATCAAATGATGAAATAAACGAAAATTTGATGGAAAATCTTACATATGCGAGATGAAACTGTTTATTAAAATATAGACGAAAAAAAAGCTTCCACCTTCTCACACGCACAAAAAAAAATACGCAACAGCTCGAAAAAAATTATAGTCGTAGCAAAATTTTAAAATCAACTTCAGAACCTTTACTGCTACTTGCACAACAACCAGTTTTTCTTGCTTCCCTCATTAAAATTTTTTTCAAGGATTTTCAATTGAGTTGAATTATCGAATTATCGTGTTTCGTTCATTTTTAATCTGAACTTGATGGAGGAGTTAATTTATCAATGATTTTTTTTAGGTCTTATTTTATCTATTTTTTTTTATTGTAATCCATTTCAATAATAAAGTATTAGTTGGGAAGCTGTTGATTTGTTGCAATTAAATTTGGAAAGTTCTAAGCTGGAATGTTCAGTCAATCAGAATCGAGCATTTAAAAAACCATGCTCTTTTCTTCAACTTGATTTATGGGGAGGATTTTAAAATGATCCAATCTGTCAAATTTCACTTAACTCAAACTTCAGATAAGCACAACTCCATTTTAATGAAAAACTGAAATATTTCAGTGAAACGAATGTCGTAATTGCAACATGTCCCCTTTCTTTTACTAGGAAAATATGGTGGAAAAAGTGACATTATGACAGATGAAACTTTTTGTTAAAATATTGTCTTCAAGGCTTCGTCTGGCCAATTAATCAGACGACGTCAGAGAGGTGTTCTTAATCCAAGAATTCCCTGTAAAAAGAAAAAAACTTTTGAAACTTTGGACTTGAAAGTTTTCGTAGGGAAGCAAAAGATCAAAGCTAGGCCTTCACATAAGTTTTTTTTACTTCAAAAAGGTTACAAAAATTAGTGTGCTACGGATTAGTTCAACTCAGATTTGGGCAATTGACTAAAAAGTTTTCGACAGAATTCGACTCTAGACAGAATTTAGAAAAAATGATAGACAGAAATTGACTAAAGAGTTTCGGTCAAATTCTGTCTTAAAGCTAAACAGCTTTTTGATTTCGTTTTACGTGATGAGAGGCTTATATGAGGAAGATGGGGAGGTTTCTCATGCTTGAAGGACCGAATGCTTGAAAATTTCAATTAATCAAAATCGCTAAGCGTTTCTATTGACTAAACGCCTTTCTCACAAAATCGAAGTCAAATTTAACAGAAAATATATTAAATCGGTGGAAAATAATCAAAACCATTACAAACTGCGGGTTACAACCACAATACTATTCAGAGAATCATCAAGATTAATGAGGTCAAAATCATAAAAATTTTTCAGTCTTGAAAACTCATCTGCTTATTATCTAATCGGTCAATGTTAACACTAATGGCCTGGATATATTTTTTTAATTTGAGGTTTTTGCGACTTAGTTTGAGATTTTGAATACTCAATTCTGATTGGCTGAAAGTAAGCTAAAATAAACTTCAAGCATTTGGTCCTTCAAGCATGAGGGACGCCACCCTAGCAGATATCCTTAGCTTTCCAAGAAATTTAAAGGCCAAAGTTGTAAATGCTTTAAATGCTTCGGGAAATTTTGGCACTAAGAACGCTTCTCTGACGCCGTTGAAATGGCCCAGCAAAGCCTTGAAAGCAACATTTACGGTTTCTTCCGGCTAGATTTTAATAAACATTTTCATCTATTATGTATCAAATTGTTAACCCTGAATCTTTTGTAGTTGACAAGAACATTAGCAGACACGAGAAAATTTTTTTTACTTCATTCGATTGCTTGAAAACTAGTATTTGCACTTTCTATGCCCAGTTACTGTAGTTATGTCACCACTTGATTAGTTTGATAATCCGTTCGTACGCTTAGGTAAGTTTATTATAATTGAACCACGTGGTCAAAGTATGGATTTTTCCACGTTTTCCTGGCCCTTTATCATAAAACTACAGTATAAAGTTAATTAAAAATTGTTTTTACGACAACTTGATTGTAATAAAAAGTACTAAAAAACATCCTCACTTGTTCATGCTCACACGTTTCGAAAAAAAAAATCCGAAATCATTTTTTTTCTAATCGAAATTTAGAATTAATAAAAACGGGTGGACTGGCAAAGAGCCCAGCACTTTTACAATACATTGAACTGTATCATAATAATTTTCCCACAATAGTTAAAAATAGCGTGGGAAAAAGTACATTGTGGGAAACGATAATGTCATTACGTGGAAAAAACATTTTATGTTTACCTTGAAACAAACGCGGGGAATTCCTCCCAGTGGTTAGTTCGGCTGCCGCACAATTCGAGGGCGACGAGGGCGAGTTAGGAGTCGGGGGACTGCCTGCACCTCTGTGCGTTGAGTTGACATCTTCGCCTAAAGTCGGAACAACAAACCATATGGCAGAATCATTATAAGTTTATTTTCAAGTCCATAGTCAATTTTCATAATTGTGAACGATTATCCATAAAGGTAGCATCAATGAGTTTGACAGCCTTTCGATTGAATTTAATTGAAAAATTGGCTATGAAAATTTCTAACAAAGATAGCCGGTTGCTGTGCAAACACAGCAGAATGTTCCGACCACATTCTTAAAGAAAAACTACAACAAATATATATATATATATTTTTTTTATAATGATGTCGTTTATTTTTGTGTGTGGTATAATCCGAGGCAACTATACGAACGCGTTGAGCGTTAGTAAATAAAACATAATCAACAAAAAATGAAGAAAAAAAAATAATAAGAAAAAAATACCCGCTCGAAATTAGACTAAAATTAGACTAACATCCGGGCTTTATCAGTTGATCAACTTTTATGATTAACTGTATATCTGATGTAGCGTATGAAACAAAAAAAGAAAAAAAAACACAGAAAACAAAGTTCATGTCATCCCCATTTTCAATAGTCCTAACAACTACCAAAAGTACTTTCCTCCCAACAATGCCATCTCAATAAAACTAAAGTATATCAGTACCTGCGTCTTAAAACTTAGCCTTTTGTTTGCTCATTTTATATGTATATATCAATCGTGTCAAACTGTCAAAGTTAGCGCGCAAGGAAACCAACAATATATCAAATTTTTATTAAAAAAATTGCCTAAAATTGCGAAGCAGGCTAAATAGGCTCCATCAATAACACAAAATAGTTTGAATTTCTAATAAATGTGAATAGATCAAAATCACATTACTGAAGAAGGCAGGGGCAGATCTAAGGTTGTCTCGAGTTTGCAGTTGTCTCGAGTTTTGTTACCCTTAGGCCATAATTTTACCAACATTTGCTGCTTTGCAAAAAAAATTGCAAACAAAGCAGGCCAAAAAGGATCTTTTGTGATGTTTGACTACTTAAGTGATATTTTAGCCCAAAGATTGTGCTCTGCAACACAATTTAAAATCAATTTAGTATGTTTCGGTACCAAATTTTCAATCAAAATGGAAGTTGCAAACAAAATGTCTGAGAAGAAGGGCACGCGCGTTAAAAAAGATATTGTGAGCTTCATAAACCCCATTATAAGGCAATTTAAGAGCCTTAAATTATACGCGCTTGTAATTAAAAAAAAAGTATAAAAAACCAGTGCAAAATGCATACACAATTTTACACCCATGACCCACAAGGAAAACCATGACAACATGGGTTACTTAAAATTCAAGCTCTCGGGCTATTTTTGCCCTCGGAGCATTCCCGGAGAACTTTTGTATATAAGAAACAAATATTACTGTTAAATTTTCAGTTTTCTATCGAAAATCAATTAAGGGCAGCGGTGGTGAAGTGATTGCGTCTCCGCCTCTCAATCTCAAGGTCGGATATTTGAGGCGCACCATGATTTGTGCTGGTTGCTTGGGGGTGAGGCAGCATTACTTAGCGCATAAAAAAAACAAGAAAAACTGCATGTTACCAGGGTTACAGCAGCGGTTCGCCTTGATAAGCTGTACAGCTCCTACGTTTGTCCTTTTTTTCCAGTGAATAAATGATCTTAGCACGGTCTTAACAAATTGAGGTTGTTCATATAGATCATAAGTAAAAACATGTTAGATGTCGAACAAAATTGGAGTACAAAAATTCCAGCGTATGTTCATTTAGCGTTTTTCACATTAATGAAGAAAATACAGTGATTTGAGAGAGCAAGGCGATGCAAACGCTTTCCTATTATTTACCATAACAAGTAAAAAGAATAAATGAAAATTTTTCTACTTTTGCTTGAATTGAAAAAAGTTGATTAATGTTTAAACTTATAAAAGCAACAAAAAATTCAAAAACATCGAAAAAATCAAAAGCATTTGTGCGAAAAATAATTTAAAAAAAAACAAATCAACTGAGACAAAAACTTGGAAATAGTTGCAAATACAGGTCCAACATGTCATTCTTAAAGGAAACGTCACCTCCAGGGTAGAGAAGTAAAAACCGAAAAAAAGACAAGCTACCGTTTGTTTCTTTTTGTCTTTTTGTTTATTAATTGTAAAGCATGAACAGAAATGATTCTACTAAAAAAGATAAACAACACAATCCATACAAATCCACCTTAAAAGTGTATTGGTTTGAACCAATTACGAAATATTTTAATTGTTCTTTTTCATCCGCTTACGGCACCTGACTGCAAGCTTAGCACAAATCACTTAAGATAGACTGTTTTCCGCTAAACTGAAACAAGACTGCTCGTATCAGGGCGAATCCCTGAATGTTCTGACTGCATTTTAAGGTTTATGGAGCAGTAATAACGTTAAAAAATTATATGTAATAAAACAAAATGAAAAAAAAAAACATTTTTAAAGAAAATTTTTATGAAAATCATCCCAACACACGCCATATATAGCACAAAAGAATAGATTTCGCTCCTTGTAACAAATCAATTATGACAAATAAGCTTCCTTCAACCAGTTTGGAACTATTTCTAAGACGGATTAAATCTCCGCTTCCCGCACCGAAGTTTTTCGGATAAAAATAGATTATTTTGAGAAAATGTTGCCGAAAATGTTGCCATTATGTGAAAACAAGTAAGGCAACATTTTCTATTATAATAGAAAAAAATTGATTATTTTCATGAAGATTATATTTTATTATAATTCCACTAAAATCTATTTTTGTCTCCACATAATCTCAACAAAATCTATTTTTTCGCCCCGAAATCGCAATAAAATCGATTGCTTTTGCCAAAAGATTGCAATAAAATCTATTGTTTTTGCCATAAAATTGCAATAAAATCAATTGTTTTTGCCATAAAACTGCCATAAAAATGCAACAAAAAGTATTGCTATCGCCATAAAATTGTAATAAAATCTAGGACCCAAAAAATCGATTATGTTGTCAAAAAAATTGATTAACTTGTCAAAAAAATTGATTTTTCTCCTCTCGGTAGCATGCTATTTGAAAACTCAAAACAAAAGAATTCAAACCAAATGACGCGAATCATGAAAATCATCAATCTAAAGAGATTTTGAGCTCAAAAATATGCAACAAAAATATAGAAAAACATCATTGTAAATCAGATTTTGGGCAAAAAAATATGTAACAAATGAAGAAAATGGTCAATATAAATCAGATTTTGAGTTCAAAAATATGCATTAAAAATATTAAAAAACGATCAATGTAAGTCAGATACTGGGCAAAAACCAACCTATTAAATAGAGAAAAACGTCTTTAAAAATTAATTTTTGAGCTCAAAAATATCCAATAAAAATATTAGAAAACTATCAATGCAAACCAGATATTTAGCAAAAAAAATGTAAAAAATACAAAAAAGGTCAATAAAAATCTAATTTTGAGCTCAAAAATATGCAACAAAAAATAGAGAAAATTATCATTGGAAATCAGATTTTGGGAATAAACATATGTAACGATTGAAGAAAATTGTCAATATAAACCAGATTTTGAGATGAAAATATGCAATGAAATCATAAAAAATCATCAATGGAATCAGATTTTGGGCAAAAATAACTGCAGCAAAGGAAGAAACTGGTCAATATAAATCACATTTTGAGCTCAAAAATAGGCAATAAATTTATTAAAAAACTGTCAATGTAAACCAAAAGGGCAATCTTAAAACCCCCATAACTTTACTAAAAATGATCACAGATGAAATGCCTTTTCAATTTAAGCTTAAGAGAACAAGACCTTTTGAATGATATAAAAAATTCCGTCAAAAAAGCCTAGTTAAAAAGTCGAAGTTTGTCTGAAGAAAAAAAAACTGACCCCAAGCACAAATATTCCGTTACTTTTTATCGAAAGTCGGAACAATAATAGTAATGAAATTGATTTTAATGGCCAAAAGTTATTGTTTGAATCAAATTCTGAAATATTTATTCCAATCTTATTTCATTATTGTTTCTCATTTTTCTTATTATGCCTGATTTTAATAGATGCTCAACAATTTAATCTTTTTTGGTAATGCAATGGTAATTTTGATGGTCTTTGTTTCTGTCCAAGTTATATTTGAGAAGAACTTGAATGGAAATAACATTTGATTAATCGTAAATCGTACTTACTTAGTTTGTAATCATTTACATTCAACCTTAGCAAGTTAATTGAATCCTTCAGTTAATTTTTGTTGATGCTTGAAAAAATCTACAGATACTCAGAACGTTTCATTCATTTGATTTCCCTATTCCACTAAATTATACATCCAAGTCTAGATCGGCTTTGGGCCGAAGGTGTTTCAAGTCTTCACTAAACTCGGTTTCTCAGCCATATATGTAGTTGCAGTCTAATTCTTTTTGCTTTATTCTGCTTCATTTTGCTTTTTTAAGGTTTTATTTGTGGTTTCACACCATTAAAAAAAGTAATTGGTCTTTAAATTGTTCAGTTATGTAGGAAAATTGATCTACGTCTTCATATTCGTTAAGTAAGATTTCCATAAAAGCAATGTTAGCAGTATTCAAGATGTGTTATAATTAATCAGCAAACACGCTGCTCCAGTGTCTATTATAATTTTGACTTCAAGAACTTTTTTCTCTCCTACAGGATATTGACCGAGGTCAATCTACGCTTGTTTTTTGTGGTTGTCAGAGATTGAGTTAGTTGAAAATATTTTTTCCGCCCTCGTTATCACTAAAGTTGACTTAATTTTTTTTGCCACTGATTTGTACTCTAGGACTTCTACCAAGACTATCATCATCTCTACTTGTTGTTATAGCATTCGTTTGAGGCCTTACTCGGATGTTGTGATTTTTATTTTGCTAATCAGGCTGAGATTTTGCATCAAAATTTTCAAATCTTTTTCCGGCGGTGCTCTTACTGTTTTCAATATTTTATTTTGAGCTTATTCTAGAGTTAGAATGGGGTTGATGAGGATAGTCTTTCTCTAGATGTATGGCTAATGCTATGAGGGTTAAATATTTGAGTAAAACTGTGTCTATATCTTGATAAATCTGGCAGAAAACGA